TCTCCTGCTTTCCCCCTGTTCTCTTCATATTTCTCAAATATCAATTTAAAATCTTCTCCAATGGGGGGGGGATTTTTTCCACCCATTTTATTTGCTGTCCTCAGTCGTTCTCCATCCTGATTGTTGCAGGGGGGTCAATTTCCCAGTGATCATCTTTCCCCTCCCCTTTGAGAATCATTTGTTCCCTCCTTTATCTCTGTTTAAAAATGTTTGCCGATGAAACAGACCAGCCATATATTTAAATTTTTATTAGAGAATATTTAAAAATAAACGGTACAAAAGATTTGACGAGTCAGTTGTCGATCATTGGGGGGGAACATACAGAGTATGGGGAGGATGTTGTTATGTTGGAGTTGGCAACGCACATAATACATACAGACTGTAATGTCTCCAATGGGGGGGGGGGGTAAGCGGTGGGTGAGATCAAGACACAGTTGATAAGTGGTGAGGGTCAGTCATCCACACAGGGGGTACAAATAGCCATAGGTACAAGTAGGTGGGTTGGGTAATGGTGAGGGGGTGACCCTCACGAAGTGGGATTCAGTTAGGTTGGGTAGGTTCGGGATTCAGGGGAAAAAGGCCCAGCGTGGGGGGGAAAGGGGGGTTAAGAGGTCCCTTCCCCCTTGCGGGTGGGTGAGGTCTCCCCGGCTCACTCTTTGGCTGGTGAGGTTGGGTGGGTTCAGGGCTCAAGAGATAAGGCCCATCGGGGGGGGGGTATATAGGCCTCTTTCCCCCTTGCGGGTGGGCAAGTTCCCTTCGGCTCACTCTCGTTATCGGGGGTGGCCGATGGGGTTGGGCGGGTTCAGGGCTCGGGGGGGCGGGGGGGGGTAAGGTCCGGTGGGGGAGGATACGGGTCCCTTCCCCCTTGTGGGTGGGTGAGGTCTCCCCGGCTCACTCACGGAATTGGCGGTGGCCGGTGAGGTTGGGTGGGTTCGGGGCTCCGGGGATAGGGTCCCGTAGGGCGGGGTTATATGTCCCTTCCCCCTTGCGGGTGGGCGAAGTCTCCCTGGCTCATTCTCGGCATTGGCGTCGGCCGATGGGGTTGGATGGGTTCGGGGCTCAGGGGGTAAAATCCAGTGTGTGTGGGGGGGAATTGATAGGTCCCTTGTGGGTGGGCGAGGTTTCCCCCGGCTCGCTCTCGGTATTGGCGGCAGCCGGTCAGGTTGGGTGGGTTCGGGCCTCAGGGGATAAGGCCCAGCGGGGGGAGGGGTTAGCGAGTCCCTTCTCCCTTGCAAGTGAGCGAGGTCTAATGGGCTCACTCTTGGTATTGGCGGTGGCCGGTGATGTGTTCCGTGTAGATGTCCCAGGACCAACGGATAGTGTCGGAGACCATTAGGCGTCTCATGAGCCGTGCGTAGTGACGGCCCACTCCACAGGTCCTCAGTACTCGCTCGTTGCATGGGTCCCAGGCACCCAGGGACCCAACAAGCAGAGCGTCTGTGTGTACCTCATAGCCCTTTGACCGCAGGGTGTCAGCCAGGGGGTCATATTTTTCAAGCTTGCGGGCTCGGGCTTCACGGAAGGCTGGGGTCCTGTTCTCAAACGGGATCGTTATGTTGACCAGGATGACCTTTTTTCCGACCTCGTCCGTGATGACGATGTCTGGGCGCAGCGGACTGTCGGTGCCGGGGACGGTGCGGTTAACGGTGACTTCCCCCAGCCGCGGGTCGATGGCCTTCACCAGGCGGTCCTGGACGGCGTTGTGTTGCAGTTGCCAGGCTCTGGCGTGGGGCTTGCAACTGCATAGGACGTGGGGCAGGGTTTCGGCGACATAATACCCATCAAAGCCAGAGGCCTCCCCCTGTCTGGGGGATCAGTGGTTCCCAGCTGGTAATGGGAGAGTTGGCTGGATCCTTTTCTTTTCTCCAGCTGGTCACTCTGAGTGCACCGTGGGTCCAGAAGTATCCCAAACCCCATGACAAATTGTCTCTGCGAGGGGCTGCTTCCCACAGTGCTAACATGTAGCCATCTCTGGGGTGGATCCATTACACTGGTCTACATTTTTTGAGAAGTCCGTCTGCTTCAGAGATAAAATGTGCTATTTATTATGTATTTTGATGTGCTGAATTCAAATATGACAATTAAAACAACTGATTGGCTACTGTTTCTAAGATATATAAGTTTTTATATTTTATGTCTATGTATATTGTGTAGATAGTAGAGTTTTAATCATAAATTGTAAACCTAGGTCTTTTCATGTGTTTATGGTTGCTTTACATGATAATATTTCACCTGTCCTG